CTAATAGATGTTACATGCATTATGCCTTCCTCTCAAAAAGTTTGCATGTGTTTTAAAGTGGTTATTTAGCAATGTAATTTTTTCCCTCAGTATTAACATTAATTTGGAAGTAAGTTAAAGGATTTCAGTTAACCAAAATTATTTCACGCCTAATTTATATAAACAAATCCCACGTCGATATATAACATGTACAACAATCAAACATCAACCCACGCCAAACTGGATGTAATTGAAAGACATCTAGAGGTCAATATACAGTCTCGAACAAAAGACAAAATACATTGTGTAAGGAAAAATATAGCGAATTTTTGAGAAGAATTATTATTACATGTATATTTGCAATATTTAAAATGCATAGTTTAAAATCCTTCGAGTTTTAGGTTCCACCTACCATTTTAGAAAACTGGGATTTCATTGCAGCTAGTCTATTAGATAACATTTTATAGTTTTGAATGTTTCTTCATCAGTTTACTAAAATTAGGTGGAGGTATGTTCTTATTTCTGACAGAGGGGTACTCAACCTATATCAATTTGTGCATGAAGCGATTGATAGTTGCTAGATACTGAATAATTTTGCCACAAATTTGTGAAAGTTTTAACCGGTGTATATACTCAAAATATGTTAATAAAGTTCATGTCTTTTTCAGGACTTCTGATCCAACCATGTAGTATGGCATGTTTGTGAGATATGGTTTTGGCCAGTAGGATGTTCATGAAGGACCTGTAGTACAAAGTATATCACTGGATTGAGCTCATTGTCTAAGTGTAATATTAAAGTGCTTTGCTTTGAGCTCAGTTCATTGTTATGCAATTCATTCTTTGTGAAATAAAGATTTGACAGACAACTCTCATGTACAAGGAATTGTCAAAGTAGTATCCATTCTATGTACAATGTAAGTAATAGGGAGATAAAAGCATTTTATTTAGATTTGAACCAAACATTTTTTGTCCATTAGCCAAATTAAAAAAAAAAAGCACAAATTCACCAAGCAATGCTACTGGCGCTACTAGCAATATGATGCTAGGTTCTTTTGTTACACTTTATTTTTATGCACCCGCCGTCGTGGAGGGGGCATTAAGTTTTACCCTTGTCCGACTGTAGGAACGTACGTCCGTACGTCCTAAAATTGGTTTCCATTCTCTAACTTTAGTTTGCCTCAACCAAATGTTATAAAACTTATACGCAATGCTTATTACCACAAAACACAGATCAAGTTTGAATTTTGGTAGCGTCACTTTTACCGTTCTAGAGTTATGCCCCTTTAAAAATGGAAAAATTGTTGAATTTTTCGTTTCCGTTCACTAATTTTAGTATGCCTCAACCAAATGTTATGAAACTTATACCCAATGCTTATTACCACAAAACACAGATCAAGTTTGAATTTTGGTGAACAGTTCTTGAGTTGTGCCCCTTTATAAATGGAAAAATTGCTAAATTTTTATTTTCTTTTAAATATCAAGTAATTTTAAAATTGGAGTTATCTTCCTTTGTCCATGAGGCCTAAATTAATATTTTGTTTGTTTCCCCAATCCCGACCCTGCCAAGCAGGTGTGGGTAGGTAGGTAGGGAAATAATTTTATTTTTCCAAAAAGCTTGAACATTTTCTGATGATCCTGCAAGCCTGAAAATTGGAAATGAATAAAATAATATTTGACTAAGTTTTGACAATAAAATTTCATGAGTAGGACCATTTTTGCAGGGTCGGTAGGGATTGGGGAAACAAACAATATTTTATTTTAGGCCCGATTATAGTTGAATCAACTACAATCAATGCTTTATACAATGCAATGTTTAATTTTGACTTCCACTGATAAAATACAGATCAAGTTGAATTTGGGTAGGGTCACTTTAACCATTATTGAGTTATGCCCCTTTATAAATCGAAAGATTGCTAAATTTTTAGTTTCCATTCTGTAACTTAAGGTTGCCCCAACCAAACATTATGAAACCTATACACAATATTCATTACCACAAAACTAAGATCAAGTACAAATTTTTTGTTTCCGTTTTCTAACTTTAGTTTGCCACAACCAAATGTTATGAAACTTATACACAATGCTTATTACTACATAATACAGATTAAGTACGAAATTTGGTGGCGACACTTTTACCATTCTTTAGTTATGTCCCTTTATAAACATAAAAATTGCTGAATTTTTCGTTTCCGTTCTCTAACTTTAGTTTGTTTCAACCAAATGTTATAAAACTTATACACAACCGTTTTAGAGTTATGCGTGTATACAAATAGAAAAATTGCTGAATTTTGAGTTTCTGTTCTCTACTTAAATTAACCTCAACCTAATGTTATGAGACTTACACACAATGCTTATTACCACAAAACTCAGATCAAGTTCAAATTTGGGTAGCGTCACTTTTACCGTTCTTCAGTTATGTCCCTTTATAACTATATGATATGCAAGCGGGGGCATCATCTGTGTCCACATGTGGACACTATCCACATTTTTTATACGCCCGTTTACGGGACGTATTATGGTATACCGTTGTCCGTCGTCAACATGTCGGACATTAACTCAAAAATGCTTTAACCAATTTGCATAAAACTTTGGTGAATTGTTTATATCTATTGACATGAGCTCCCTTTCGTTTTTTATAAAATTTAGATTTTACGTTTCCGAGTTATGGGGTTTTATTCATTAAAAAAGGGGGATTTTCCAGTTTTCCAGTTTTCGGACAAGTAGTCAAGAATTCTTTCACCAACTTGCAAGAAATTGTGGTGAATTGTTTATATCTATTGACATGAGCTCTCTTTGGATTTTTATAAATTTAAGATTTTACGTGTCCAAGTTACAGGGTTTTATTCATAAAAAAAGGGGGGATTTTCCAGTTTTCGGACAAAAACTCAAAAATGCTTTCAGGAATTCTTATGAAACTTTGGTGAATTGCTTGTATGTTTTGATGTAAGCTCCCTTTAGAATTTTATAAATTTTACATTTTACATTTCTGAGTTATGGGGTTTTATTCATTAAATAAAGGGGTGATTTTCCATTTTTTGGACAAAACTCAAAAATGCCGTCACCAATTCTCATGAAACTTTGGTGAATTGTTTATATCTATTGATGTAAGCTCCCTTTTTATTTTCATAAATTTCTAATATGACATTGAGAATTAATTGAACTTTATTTGTTTATAGTCTGACAACAGATTTACTAAGTATTGCACAACAGCAAGAAATCTTTAATTGAATATAAATTCAATTCATATAACCAATTTCAAGTTCTTTGACTACATTTATTCAGAAACCTATAATATGTCAAATATTTAATTACAATCCAAATTCAGACCTGAATCAAGCTTGAATATTGTGTCCATTTTTGCCCCAACTGTTCAGGGTTGGACCTCTGCTGGTGTATCTAGCTGTGCTCAGCGAAGCAGTTTATTTACATCTGTACTGCCTACTGGCGACTCAGTCCTGAATGTAAATGGTCATTCAGTATGTTAAGAAAAAGACCAAAATTTATAAGGCCTATCTGGCCTAATTGATTTCTAAAATATATTTCATTGTACATGTTCAACATTTATCATTCATTTGTTTATTTCTTAATTTGTGTGAATTAACAGTAAATGTTAATTACTACACTTTCATACCATAACAAAACTGCCTTACTGTATTGGTATCACTTATAATTTGTATCCATATAACAAAAAAAACTGAAAAGAGAATACTTTTGCAATAGCTTTTTCATATTGAATACTAAAACTTTTTAGATATTTAGACATATTAAGTAGATGTTCATAATATCCACTTGACATTTTATCATATGACTTCTGTAGTTAGTTATGAGTCTTTGAAGCATGCTCACAAAGGTTCTTTTGTTGATATCATTTTCATACTGGTCAAAACTTTTTTTTGCTTTTACCAGCTTTGGAGGAGATATTTTCAAAGAATTAATAAAAAATAACACAGAAATTCACGTTCTAGCTCATCTGGCCCCAATCATCATGTCAGGCATTGTCATTACTAAAAAACATTAAATGTCTTCTAAACTGAGAAACAATTTCCACATTTAACCGAAATCTTTTACTTATGATACTGACAATCCCCCACAAAGTAATATAAATAGAACTATACAAATAGTAAGCAAATACATGTTCTCAGATACCATCTCCCATGTAAAAAAATCACATTAAGAAAAAAATGAACCTATTATGTGTTCCTCTCCTAGCTACAAAATGTATCCAAAATCAAAGATGTGGAACATATATATTCTATCATAATCATTTGGTAATTAATGCAATTAGTATCTCTTCCATGCCCGTGTTGAACATAAACAACACCCCTAATGCTCATATTGGTTGTCATTGTGCAACACAGTTAATACATAGAAAACATAAAACATAGAACTCCTTTTGTCATATAAAACACTGTCAAACATCCAATCATACTATCCACACTGATCTGTGTCCACACTTGTATTTGTATAAATATAAAAATAACAACATTGGCAATGGGACGACGCTCCCCTGTTTTTCCATCGTCGTCCTAAACATGCATGAAATATTTGCCACTGGATGTTAACCAACGAACAATCAATTAATCAATCTTTTTTCCATCGTTGATTTTATATATTTTATGTGTAATTGGAGAAATGAAATTAACAAATTAACTTAAGCTATATATGTTTTTAATTTTAGTTCATTTACATGATTCGGAGTTAAGTGTGAAGTCCATTTTTACTGAACTAGTACACATGTTTGTTTAGGGGCCAGCTGAAGCCCGCCTCCGGGTGCGGGATTTTCTAGCTGTGCTGAAGACCCTTTGGTGGCCTTAGGCTGTTTTCTGCTCTTTGGTCGGGTTGTTGTCTCTTTGACACATTTCTCATTTCCATTCTCAATTTTATTGTTTTTATTTTTACAATGCTTTAAATCGTTGTGCCTGAAGCATGTATATTTTTTTTTATGTAATACAAGTATGGGACTGAATTGAACAGTAGCTCTTATTTTGAATTAGTTCATTTTTATATATAACTATGTATTTTAGACGTGGCTGTTGAAGCACCAGCAGTAGTTCCGGAAGCGCCAGAGGTAGCAAGCGAAGAAGGTGTGTACTATTTGATTTGAACAATTGGTACCGATCTCAAACCGGTACTAATGTCCGCCTTGAACTTGCAATGAGATGTGAGCTCACATGTGTGTTCCTAGTTTAACTCCCCTTTTGTGTCACGAATTAATACACCGCATACTGTCGTTACCATCACTTTAAGATAATCTTTTGTGCTGTGTTGAGGACACATAATTTTACTTCGTATACATTGTGTGTCACGAATTAATACACCGTACACTGTCGTTACCATCACTTAAAGTTAATCTGTTGTGCTGTGTTGAGGACACATAAGCAGGCTAAGGTTACTTCGTGTTTAATATCTTGTTCAATATGCAGAAACAAATTTGTCCTTTTTATATTCAATATGCAGAACCAAATCTGTCCTTTTTATATTAAATTTGCAGAAACAAATTTGTCCTTTTTATATTCAATATGCAAGGCCGAATGACACTTTATGTTATATGTAAAAATATACGTCTAAATATGTGAAAACTTTACGACAGACGTTCTCCATCGGATAACCTGTGGTCATACAGGGCTAACACCATAATTCGTATATATACTTAGTCTCAACAATGCAAGATCGGCAAATTTGTGTTAGTAAATGTTTGTTCTTCCCTCAGCGGGATTCGAACTTCTACATCTGAGAAATTGTGGCAACACCCTCTATACTGTGTCCAGCGGCCTAGACCACTCCACCAAATATGCTATACTAAATATAGCTTTCGTTAGTCAAGTAATGCCTTTCATCATCGGCTATTTGTATGATATGCCTTGTCCATACATTCTTACCTGCCGAGCTATCTGACTCATAAGAACAAAATAGTATTGATATGTATCTATAGATTAATGTAAATTATATGCAGGTTTATTAATTTTTACAATGTTTTATATCGTATTTACCTGTGTCCATCCTCTCTCACTCATTGTTGATTATTATATAATTATTCAATTTAATATTTGATAAATAAAATCAACGATTAATTATAGCCTAACGAAAATTATACTCAAGTTCATTTATTTTTAACAAGTTTAAAATCGACGTTTCTGATTCATGTATTCCTTCTGTGTAGTACACGTATTGGACTGGATTTAACAAAATTGTCCTTTGAAATATTTCATGATTATATATCTTTGTATTTTAGTCGCCCCTGAGACCAAGGAAGAACCTGAAGTAGCAAGTGAAGAAGGTGTGTAGTGTATAAACTTATCAAATTCTACCAATCTCAAACTGAAACTAATTGACGTCTTAAAATTGCAATCAGATGTGAGCTTTTGCTCCATGTCTAAAACCTTCGTATGACTTTAAAATGAAGAATAGCAATTTAACCGCTAGTTTTATTTTGCTCAGATTTTTGTCAGGTGCGTAAAGGGATATTTATTTACGAAGTAATAAAACGTCTCCTTTCGTTTCCTTTACTTTAAGTTTATAACTTGTGCTGTGCTGTGTTTAGGTCGAATAAGGCTTCCTCAGGTTTAATAACATGAATGACTTTATATTTTAACAAATATGGTGGTGAAATAATTCTCATGCTTATGAGTACTTATTTACATTTTGTTTGGTCCTTTTATTAATCAAAATGGTTTTGCATCCATTCCATAATATTTGCCTTGTTCATACATTATTTGCCTTGTTCATACATTATTTACCTTGTTCCTACAGTATTTACCTTTTTCATGCATTATTTGCCTTGTTCATACATTGTTTACCTTGTTCATACATTATTTCCTTTCATGCTGTCTAACGAATATACTGATGTCTTAGTGGTTTTTTTTTTCTGTAACTCGCGGGAAAGATGTCGGGTGAATTATGAATTTGTGATTATTCTATTTCTTTATTCTTTGGTCGTGTGTTTGTAGATTAAACGTCTGTAATGATTTACTTGTGTAAGAAAGCAAATGAAATTAGAATTTGCTTTGCAAGTTGTTTCTTGTTTCCACGTTTATATCTAAAAAAAATCCGGGAATTAGAAAAAAAATGTAGATGTATCGAAACGACACGAATGACCCTGATCGCAAAAAATGCTTGAAGCCATTTTTAGGAGTAGAAATTTGAGAATGAAAGTCTGTATAACTGTTATTTTCACAAAATGCTCAAAGTGCAAAGCCCGTTGTTTCGGCAAAAATCAGCGGAGAGGAAACAAACGTAAACTCGATCTGTAACTCATCATAGTAGACTCACATACTAAAAATCAGCTCAATATGATAAGGTGTTATTTTCATGAAAATCAGATCTTAGTGTGTTTGTCCATCTGGGAATTTAATGTAATTTAAAGTTGTTCGGTAGTCTAATTCCTCCACAAGCCATTTACATTTACAACATGTCAAGAAGAAGTGCGATTAAGAGTTTAGCATTATGATATAGTCAGTTCTCTATCACTGAAGACTGTATGCTGACCTTTAGATGTATTTTCGGTTTGTTGTCTAATGTTGTTGGATAATGTCTAATTAATAATTATGTGATACATGTACGTCACAAGTCTATTTATTCACACATATATATTTTTATACTAGAATTATAAAGGTAGTTAACAAGTTCTGCTTAAACTTAATCATCCTTTAATTGAATATCTTTCACTTCTCTCAATATTAAACACTTGTTATATCTCGAAGAACCTGGATATACTTTAAAAGTCTTTAGTCTGCAGACAAAACAGTAGTATTGATTTATTCTAATGATTAATTTTGATATTCAGAAGTTGACAGCGGCAGTGACGAAGAAGAAAAACAAGAAGAACAAGAACAAGAACAAGTAGAACAAGGCGAGGGAGAAGAAGAAGAAGTGGAGGACGAAGAAGAAGGGGATGATGAGGATTCAGAAGAAGAGTGAACATTTTATGTTTCATAAACATAGTTTATATGAAAGTGTTCATAAAAATCATGATTACAAAAAAATCTTACTATGTCCCAAAATGCTGAATTTAAATAAAGTATCTACGAAGTTACTGACTGCAATAGTAACTGTAACCATAAAACGTTTCCATGTACAAAATTCTCGTGGGTTTGCTTAGCAGTTAAGCTGAATCTTTTGAATCGTCTAAATCGAAATATACGGAGGATTTTTTCTTTTCTCTTCATGTTCAAGGAATTTGCTTAAGTCGAATTGTGATAGCGCAAAATCAGTCTCAACGTCAATAAACGTCCACATCCATTTGGATATAGGGATGGAAAATGAAAGAAAAAAAAATGCCACGTGATCAATACTTATGTCTATTCGAATATCACATTACTGTAATGAGCATGAAATTAAAAAAAAAAAAAAAAAGATTTTCAAAAAAAGTGGATACAAACATTTAAAACGAGACAAAAAATATTTTTGATTGAATGTTAGTCCCCATAAAATAGAGAAACAGCTTTTTTCTATATGTTGTTCTTTATTTTATTGATTTTGACAATATTTATACATGTAGTATTTACGTTTGTCTGATTACTTTTTCGTATTTCATTTGCATACGTCGTTGAATTTTTAAATGTCTTAAATCGGCAATTCATATTTTTGTTGTTTATTTTCTGGTTTTTTTTTGTTTTTTTTTAAGGGGGGTATGAGCCGGGGAAGGGGGCAATCCCCCCTCCACTTTCAAAATTGGGTATGGAGGAGGCAAAACATAATCCTTCGTTTGGCTTTGTTTGTTTGTACGTATGTATGTTTTTTTTCTTGGTGTAGAGGGGTGTATATAAGTGCAGGAGCGTAGGAGCCATGAAAGGAGACCTTAACCGCATTACATACTTTCAAAGGTGAGGGGAAAAACTATAATACCCCCCCCCCCCCCCCCCCCCCCCCCCCCCCCCGTAAAATTGTGCCAAAGAACAATCACCGTCCGAAAAGAATAATAACTTGATATTTGACTCTAACATGCATGTCTAATGAACATTCTCAGTAAATGATCTTGCCGTTTTAGAACTATGTTTTGTTAAAAATCATAAGTGTTACATTTCAATTCATTTGTTCATCTGCCTGTAAGACAGAGAACTGATAGTATTCGTTGCTGATTCCTTGTTTTTAATTTTAAATAGCGGAAGCAATGTTGCTTAATTGAAAGAAAGTGTGCACAACACTTGAAAATAGCCACTGCAATAATATTCGTGGTTACGCCTGCTTCTAATCGGTTAAGCGAAATCGTGGGATTATTTTGAAAAGGTTAATGAAAGACAGATGACGTGTGATGACCATTGCTTATGTATCTTCTTTTCCAATTGGATTTGTTCATTTTTTTCCATACAATGTCTGTTAACATACAGATACACAATCATATCACGTCAGGCTATGTGGACAATGAGTTGTGTCTTTGTTGTCTGTACGTTTTTTTTAAAGTAGATTGTTGGTATTATTTTTGCCATTACTGTTTTCTTTTGCATATATTATTAAACTAAAGTTTTTCATGCTTAATGTAAAAAGCTCACCAAATTACCATCGTTCCTTTTAACAAGTATGTTTCTATGGTGTTAGAAATTCAAGCTTAATATAAGAATGCATCTCTTTATTAAATGAATGCATGTGTATTGATCAAACGTCAAGCAGGTACCGATTGAGCGCAGAATCTTTTTACCTTTCTGCAGCACCTGTGATCTCCCCCGTTTTATTTATGAAGTTCGTGTTGCTCAGTCTGTAGTTTTCCATGTTTTGTGAACAAGTATTTGTCACTTTGTCGAATATCCTGCCATTCTTATATCAGTTTTCGTCGCTTTGATATGTCCAACCTATGCAGAGAAGCAAAACACTAGCAGAACAATACATTTTTCTATGACGACACATAGAAATTGAAAAATTGAAATTATGATTGTAGAACATCGTGTTTTCTCTCTTACAAGAGACACGATGTTCTACACTTTCATATATGTGTGACACTTACTGTGACAAAAATGTGCTAGGTAAGGAGGAGAATTCAGCGCTCGCAAAAACTTCCTACTCCACCATATTTTGTATGCTCCTGTCCAAATTCGGAAGCCTTTTATTCAGTTATTACCTATAGTTGCTGTCTGTCACATTAGTTTTGTGTTTATTCATTTGTCTCTAAATCAAGCCATTGATTTTTCTCATAAGAAATTGTTTTACATAATGTCATGTCAAGGCTTTTTGGAGATGATTACATGGTATGGGTTTTGCTCATTGTTGAAGGCCGTACGGGGTCCAATAATTGCTTAAACGCATGACATGTGCACTCTAGTGGATAGTTGTGGCATTAGCATCCGTAACCATAACCCCTCAAGCGTACATTTATATATATTGTAATATTCATTTTTAAGTAACAAAATTATATTTTACTAATTGAGATTAACAGGATGCAAGTTTTGTGTGGAATATAAAGTTCTAATTTTACTACCCGAAATGTATACGTGCTTGTGCCTACGGGACGAAACTAGACCTTGTATATTGTTCATATCTTATTGTTTTACCTAAAGGGAGATACATGTTAATTAGATATCGGTGATATTATCTTTCAGCTTGTCTAAGACTCGGGGCAATTTAGAGCTTTACATTGTATATGTTAAAGACCGTATACAACGTTGACCTCTAAATGCCTTTTGGAATTTGTATTGTTGGATCATTGACAGATACTTCAGAGGAGTAATTTTTTATTCGCGTTGGTCACAAGCCTAAGTTCAAAATCTCGAACAAATTAAGCAGCACCTTACAGAAACAGAAAACGGGATAAAAGACATTTCCTGGGTTATTGGTCTCCTGTATTTTCTCATCACATCCTTCATTTCACCTCAATATTGTAATATCTATAAATTAAATATTAATTTAACACAAAACATATGTTTTTTAATTAAACACAAAACATATGTTTTATACAACGGATATGATTTCTTCATTGTAGACACAATCTCGCCCTCCTCTCTTCTTTGTTGACATACCATGTAACTTCAAAAATACAGTTAAAAGATCCTGAAATATTGGACGTACATGTAACAGACCACACAAACTACAAACAGTCGACTCCTCCAAAAACATGAATGTACGAACAAAGACAAACAGCAATGAACAACACAGGGTTAACATAGGCTCATTTGGTACAAGCTTAATCCAGTTTTAACATGTTTAAAGAGTTTGTTTTTTTACTAAAACTCATCTGTGGTTTTTCGCGCTGAATATTTAATTTAACGTGTTGGTCTTGTTGTTTGTAGTTTTATTTCTCAGTGTCCTTTTCTGTTTTTTTTTCCATGGTGTTGTCGGTTCGTCATTATCTTATGATTTTGATTGTCAATAATGGTTTCTTTTATTTAATTTGTTATTTTATATACTTTGCCTTCGGGTTTATATGATCCGTTCATCCTATTTTGACTCTTTCAAAATTCAAGAGTCTATCCTAAATTGAGGTAAATTTTATGGCCTTCCAAATACCGTTTCGATTCCTAACATTACTGAAGAGACATTAATTGTCGAAATCCTGATATGGTGTACAAATTTTTGCACCTCATGTTTGCGGTATACCATCTTTTCCGCAAGTTTATTGTTTTCTATTTGGTAATAAATTAATAATAAGATCTATTTTGTTACATCTTGTGATACGTTTATTTGGCAATCGCCAATGGCAGTCAGCAGGGTTTAAGAAAATCAGTTGTTCGACCAGCTGGTCAAATGCGTTTTGTTAAAATATACTGTTTCACTCATTTGGTCTTTTGGAAAATGTTGTTTGTGCTGTATTTAGACCCCTCTACCAAGAAATTTGTTTTGCATGCACACGTATAAAAATTGCGGTTTTTATCCAACGCAATCATAGGTTTGAACGTTGTTTTCAATTTAGACTTGTTTATATATATATATATATCGACTCGTTTTAGAACGAATGTTACGGAAAGGTATTTAAATAGTCCGTCCCACAAAATGGTATCTGCTAAGTACAGTCACCGATATTAGAATGTAGGACGGCATTATTTAGTGGGATCTTTGATACAGTGTTATCATGTTTAATACTTTTTGTTTTGTTATCTAAAATACCGTTAATGTAAATGTTTTCATGTACACCTTTTATTGTGTGTTTTTATGTGTCCCCTTTTGTTGACACAGATAGAGATAAAAAAAACAAAGTGTAGATTTGGGTAAAAAATATGTCAAGATTAACCCGGCTATGCTGCATGTGCCTTTCCAAAAGCAGGAACTTCGTCCGCGATTGTCTGATGTCTTATCATAATGATTCTTTTTGTTTTTGTTTTGGAGAACTAGCTTGCTGTTTTGATGGCCGAATTTTAATAGTCTGTTTTATTCACAACTTTACTTTTGTGAGTTTTAATTCTATGGCTAACAGATACATGATTATTTTTGTAAATTATAAATAAACCTTCTTATGTCTTTTGCAATTTGTGAATGTGAGTTTATGTCGCCTTGACATACATACTAAATCGCCTTATATAAAAATATATACGTCAAATATGCATGTATTTAGGAAGTACAAGTCGGAAACACCACCAGTAATGTGATATAATGTTTCTTGTGGTTTGGAGAATTGCAGACAATAACGATGTGGTGATACTTTATAAACGAGACCATTTTGATCTGTACTGGTACACATTTCTCCCCATAGTTGTCTCGTGGTGTTAATGGTCATCACATTCGTCATAGTGTATCAATGGATATGATTCATCCGGTGGATTTCTTCGACCTGAATAAATAAAAAGTTATGACAGAACAGATTTATGTTTTTTTTTTTAAACTTAATAATCTGATGACGAAAATAATATATTTAAACACATGAAGCGTGCAACAAAAGCAAGACGCTAAGCTATACAAATGTTCCCGGTAAACACAATCTAAACAAATTAAAAATTCGAAAATTCACTTGGTAGATTTTTAAATTATATTTAGGGTAATATTTGTTTCCTCGGTAAACTCGACTCTCATTTGCTGATTTAAAGAGAAAATACGCAACAGATACTTCTGAATCGTCAACTTTTTGTACGAATTTGTTTAGATTTCAAAAGCCTCTCCCATCGATATTGACATT